CTCAACGATTGCCCGAACTATGTTTGTCTTCATTGTTGCATTAACTTGTGGATCGAAGAGTGCAAGACCCACCAAGCCTTCACTGAGGTACCACAGGTGACGACCGAAGACTGTGAGACATGTTCTTGATATTTTGACGTCGTGGTACTCTGACAGGTCTTGGAGGAGCCGCAAATCATTAGCAGGAGCGGAGGATGGAACGGAGGCCGTGAACCATGCACTGACATACACCTCTAGCACAAAGAATGTGAATCGTTTCAAGCCTAATGTCTCACGAGCAGTTAGTTTAAACTGATTAGCAAAAATCAGGATCTTCATGACATAAATGAGCTTAGCCATCCACCGTGCTCGGTGAAGTGCTCCGGGCCGTCGGAGATTAAACTTGGGTAGAGCTCCATCGAGACACCTGATTGCTAGCTTGATTGTGATTCTGTTTCAGATGAAGAACCCAACTCATCATATTCAAGAGCAGAACTGGCTTGATTCTGTTGTAGAGATTGCTTACTCTTGCTTTCTTCCCGACGCTTGATGGAACAAGCAATCTTTTTGTCTACTCCTGCCATTACACCTCTTCTCCCTTTTTCTCGTTGCGCTGCCAGGAATGCTCGGTCTTCTTTGATGGTCAAGAGCTGCATTGCCTTGGGGTGGGCAACATCGAAGAGGTCCTCTAACTCATCACAAAAAGTTTCCTCTTTCTTACGTTGTGTGTCTGTAGTGCGAGTGCAGTTTTTCTTAAGTCCCTTCCACATTAAAAAAAGATCCACTACCTTTCGTCCAATACTCTTCTCAGTTATGGTAGGAATCCGTGCTTTATTCCAGAAACTAATAACCGATGCTGCAACTTCACTCGCAGAATCATTCACTGTTTTCTTATGTTCATTGTGACCGTGGAAAAACAGACGTAGAACATCTCCTCTTGAAGGAAGTTGTGCACCCGTGATTTCGGTTATGTGTTGACCAATGAGCCAAACTTCAGTTTTTGAACGTGTACTCTCCATTGAACCTGAAACAAACAAAAACATTTATGTAACTTATGTTGTTACTGTTATGCAAACAACAGCACCCATAAAGCATACGGCATGCAAGATCACTTGTATAAAGTTTTTTAAGTGTTATATACCTAAATTGATGCATTGATTTTAGACAAAGACAATGGTACTAACCGTAATACTGCAACAAGAGCGACGCACACACACCCACCGTCACGTCTCACACACAACTGATGCTACTGTACCAGTCAGACACTGGCACACAACCTCTTCCCCCTACCCTGACTGACACCCGCCTCTCCCTCCCCTCTGCATTGCCAATAGCTGCACCAGCCAAAATACTCATTACTCATTTTTAGAAAAAATGTTAGGAACAACTTTAGTTTGAATTTGCATTCTACATATACCTGCAAAGTTTCATAGTAATCGGTTCATAAATAAAGAAATTAGAAAAAATCAATAATAATTTCAGTAGTGTTAACTTCAAATGGCTTGAGCCACCTCTAAATATTGTCCAAATGACCCAGGATTTCGCCTGTGTTCTTTTTTCATGGGTACGCAGTATTGGACAAATGGCCATCTAAAAATAAAAACTTTCACTTTTTATTGTCACCCTAGTGACCATTCTCTATTTTGCTCTGTATATTTAAACATTTGTTGTAGGATGGTTATGTTTTGTTGTACTAATCTTAAGTTTTAATCTACCTTACAGTAGATTTTTGTTGGGGGAGCTGTGTCAGGGCTGTAACGAGTAGGATGGTGTCCCGGCGCTCGTTTGCTTGTTCGCGTCACCCACTTGGGGTGAGGGGGGTAGACGGAGGTGAGAACGTCACTGCCGCCTCTACACACATCAGACACTACCCAGCCGTCAACACAGCTGTACTTACTCCCCGCTGTTCGTTCAAACTTTGGTTGTGTTCTTATGAGGTCTTGGACTCGTGGGCTGATTCCCCAGACCTTCACTATTCGGCTGTCAATCTCCGGACACCTGCTCCAGCTACTACCGCGGCTGTCACGTCATCGCCACTTCCTCCACGCCCTCTCCACCGTCTGTGCCCGGGCGTGGTTCAAAAATCTGCTACACTGGGTTCATGTATACCAAACATGTCACTCGCAAAAGCAAGTTGTGGTGGAAGTGTGTCAAAAGATCCAGTGGTCACTGTCGGGGCAGTATGACAACAGACCTACAGAGAGAAAATCCAGCGATAGGTCAGCCTCACAACCATGCCCCAGATGAGACCCAAATCCGTCTTGCCAAAATACGCAACTGGATGAAAGACCAAGCTACCAACACTCGAGACAAGCCAGCTCAGATTTTTAGTCATGCTGTGAGCCAGTGTCATGATGACGTACGCTCACTTATACCCTCTGCTGACATTTGCAAACGAACTCTGCGTAACCAACGGCCTATTTCTCCTATACCACGTCTGCTAAAAGATCTAGGTGAACTTCCTACTGAGTTTTCTCAGACAGTTGGCCCTAATCCCGAGGAGTTTTTACTCTATGATAACGGACCAAATGCAAACAACCGCCTTCTAGTGTTTGGTACCAGTGATGGCCTCAGACTCCTTGCTTGTGCTGATACTCTATATATGGATGGCAACTTTGCTATGGCTCCAAATATTTTCAAACATATTTATGTCATCCGTGTGCCTTTCTTTGATACAGCTGTTACTTCAGTGTTCGCTCTTCTTCCAAACAAGACTCGTGCCACCTACGAAGAACTCCTTCAGGCTATAGTTGATAAGTGTGCAGACCTAAACTATTCTGTTACTGTGAAAACCGTGGTGACTGACTTTGTAGATGGTGTACTGAGAGCTGTTCTTGCAGTGTTTGGCGGCGATGTAGAGAGCAAAGGTTGTTTCTATCATCTTACACAGTCCACTTGGCGTAAGATCCAGGAACTGGGTTTGTGAACACATAATACCAATGCTGAGTTTCGTTTGTTTTGTGGCATGATTGATGCTCTAGCTTATTTGCCCCTAGACAACGTTGATGAAGGTATGAGATACCTCAAAACTGTCATTCCACAAGATCCACCTGAAGCCGAGGAGTTGCTCATGTACTTCGATTGTACTTATGTTAGTGGCTCCTTTCGACCGATTCAGCAGCCAGTTGCCATGTCCAGTGATGCCCTGATGCCTCTGAGAATGCGTCATATTCCACCTATGTTTGCCCCTCACATATGGAATGTGCATGACGCCACCATGAACAACAATGCTCGTACCAACAACATCTGCGAAGGGTGGAATAATAAATTCTTCATCCTCGTTGGTCACTACCATCCTTCAGCCTGGCGTGTCATTGAATGGTTTCAACGTGAAGAAGCGACGGTGAGCATCATTATCCAGCAGGATGGTGTTGGCAACCCCCCTCGAAGAAGAGTTCGTCGACGCTATGTGCAGCTACAAGAACGCATTCGCAACTTGTGTGTTGGTCGACGGGAGGACCACAAGACTGTGGCAGAGTTTCTTCGTGGCGTAGGCTGGAATATTCGTCTTAATCATCAGCATTAAAAACACTGAATATACATGTAATGCCATGATATTCTGTAAGCTGTTTTCAATCTGTACATGTCATGTACTGTCAATAAATGACTGACTTAAATATTTTTGTTTGATTACCTTACTGTGCTTAAGATATTGAACAAAACGTGATTTGTTTTCACATACATGTAATGCCATCATATATGAATAGTGTTGTTAATGTATTGCCAGTTAATAACTGAATTAAAATATTTTCAGTTTTATTACTTTAATTGTTTGTGGTACTTAAATAAACTGTGACTGACTTGAATATTTTTTTTGATTACCTGACTTTCTTTCTTAACCAAAATTGTGACTTTTTTTCTGTGACTTTTTTTCTTGTGCCTTTATTACCGGCCACCATAAATTGACTTTTTTCCTGTGACTTTTTTTTCCTAGCCAAAATTGTGAATTTTTTTCTGTGACTTTTTTTCCTGTGACTTTATTACCGGCCACCGCTGCCTTAACCTCCCCCCCCCCCTCTGCAAGCGGATCATTGCCTTACGGAACCGTTCACCGGGCCACCACCTTAGGAAATATTTCTGTTCATTGTTTGACTCCCCTTAAATGTTGACTCCATTAATTATTTGATCCTGTTAATTGTTTGACTCCTTTAATTGTTTGACTCCCGTAATTGTTATTTGAAATTTGTGTGGGTGGTGTCAGAGTTTTGTGTTATTTTCATAGTAAAGAGAAGTCAATCTCGAACGGTTGTTTGTTATCCCTCAGAAAACCATGGTTCTTGACTTTCCTTTTATAAGATCCTGATTAGGCTGGCAAGGGAGTCATATCCCTAAGTCCCAGGCCTTTACAAAGGGTCAAGACGAACCTCGCGCTCCTCTGGGAGCAGCCAGGTCAACTGTTAAGTTGGCCCATACCAACTCCCTCCCCTGAACCCCTTCTTCCCACCGAAATATCAACAAGGTCTCCCTAGAAGTTACAATTTCATTTAGTAAAGGAATGGAACCAGTGTTGAACAGTGGTGAACAGTGCTTAAATCAGTGAGAACAACTCGACATTAACTGAGTCATACCCAAGTTAACCTTCATACAGTGAGGATCCAGGTACCCAGTGAGATCCAACAACAACTAGCGCTGTGTTAATCCGTCCACGATAGGAAGGCCTGGGACCACACCTCACTCATTTAACGCCATCTGTGAGGGAATTACTACACCACGTCAGGCCCCTCGTAACACCATCTGTGAGGGAATTAATTCACCACATGATGCCCCTCATAACACCATCTGTGAGGGAATTACTACACCACGTTATGTCCCTCATAACACCATCTATGAGGGAATTACTACACCACGTGATGCCCCTCATAACACCATCTGGGAGGGACTTACCACACTACGTGTTTGCTGTTGAAAACCTACATTAATCTGTATGTTCACTGTATGTTCTTTTACCATTCTCTAATGAAGGCCTTTGTTAAACCACCAATGTATGAAATAAGACATTTATGTCCAATGTATATTTTAAGCCTTCGGGAGGCAGAACATTTTCAATAATCCGTTCATTATTATTTTTATTATTATTATTAAACACACACACACACACACACACACACACGAATAAGGACGCTTCTCTGTTATTCTCCAAGCTAAAATCTGCTTTTAAGTCTACGGATTTATTGTAATGTTGACTACTTAATTCGGCAGTAAATAGTGTTCCAAAAATCTGATGTTAACCTCTGACAGGCTATCACGTTCTCATATAATAATGTTAACAAAAAGCGTTCCGATATCCTAATGTTAACACACTTAATTATTATTTTACATAAGTGTCATAATTTTAATTGAATCAATTATTTTATGCCGAGTGTAGCTTAAATATGAGTAGAGGGTACCTGACACCACTGAATAATAATAATAAAAATAATGATGATTATAGGAATGATAAAAAGGTCGTTTCTTCCACAGATTATTAACGTCCTAAGTTTTTACAATACATTTTTATACTTGTATGAAAGTAAATAATTTTCTTTACAATAGTGATAACATTTGTTACTCTTCATCTGGGTCAATGTAAGTCATTAACGGTGGCAGGCAGTGCAGCGTGAGGCTATGGCCAAGATCAAATACCTCTTCAGTGACAACAAACATTCGTATGTGGCTGCATGATCGAGTTACACATAAGGTTAAGCAGCATGGTGATTTGGTCAGACAGCACGTCCTCTCCTACGTGATGGTCGTCTGTACACCTGAGGTGTTCACTGGTGTACACGGAGCTGTCCACCAGCCCTCGACGGTACAGTTCTTCACACTCACTGATCCCCGCCAGGTTGAGAGGCACACCAGTGTCCCACCACCACACTCCACCACCAGTCTCTCTGGGGTCCAAATGGTCTCTGTTGGTCCTGGTAGTTTGTTGTATCGCAGTGTTGGTCGTGGGACCCTGGGGGACGGGGGAGTGTTGTTGTAAAGACCCAGTGATTGGTGTTGGAAAGGTGTAAGAGACGTGGGGCGTGGCAGGAGAAAGATGGTGGTCTTTATACTGACGGAGATAATACTGGAACAGCATCTCGCTCCAGTCGAAGGTGGCATCCCCTAAGATTGACACCATGTTGTAGATTGTTCCAGTAAGACTGTGCTCCCTGTAGCGACCCTGAGACACCACCAACACCCGTGTCCTCTGAGCGATCTGAAATCAAAATAATTTTCATGGAACTTTGTGTCTGTGGTTACCGTAGCGGGGTACCAATACACTGAGTTGGCCTTCCAGCAATTCCTTAGTTGAACTCCCAAAAAGACAGTGTGTGACTAATCCAGTGTGAGGCATCAGTAGTTTTACCACCTTATCCTGAATGATTTGCCGTAAAACAAAAACAAGTTTATAGTTATTAAGAAGAAATTCATAAATACCCGACTGGTTAACTGATAATTACCAGAAGAAAGGGAGAGATGTATAGTACAGTACTAGTTGTGTTTCAACCTGTTATAATTTCATGTTTAAAACGAGTGACATACAAATGATTAAAATGAAAAGATTGAGAAATATGAATAGATGAAAAGGTGACGTATTGAAATGGTTAATTCAAGTTCGAGTAAAAGTGAATTGAAGGAAAATACATTAGCAAGGTAACGGAGAGGATGAGGAGGTGAGGGAGCGACCACAAGGACTTACTGACCTGGTGTAGGAGAGGGACGACCTGTTGATGCATCTCTCTCACGACCTCCAGCACGTCGGAGGTGGAACTCCTCCTCATCATCATAAGTAGCATCATCCACGAGGTGTAGCCTGAGGAAGTGGACGAGTATAATACACCCTGTCTCTCATCTGTCTTCCTCTCTCTAAATATCCATCAATTTGTGTTATACCTGGTGTTGCTTGAGGACAGATGTACTACACTGACTCTATATCTATGGGTGTAGCCCCGAGGAAAAAGTATCCTATACATTTCATCCCTATAAGAGTACCTTCAGGTAAGGTTAACCTTATGGTGGGTGTGAGACAATCTGCCGTCACTGAGATGTTAACAAAGGTAAGATAAGTATAATGAAAAACAAACCACGACGCTACAGTATGAATACAATTGTGCACATATGTCAGAAAAAAGGCTCATTTCATTATATACATACTATATACTGGAAAATTAAGTGCATTAAATCGTCTTTCAGATACTTTACTTTCGATAAGTTTGGGCGCGATCGGTGAATTACGTTAGATAATATTAGGTTTGGTTTAACATTAAAAAACGGGAGTGAAATCAGAATTGTTTCCCCACAAATATGTACAGTGCAATATTGTATTGTACATAAGACAGTAAATATCTATCGTCATTTTACTGAGTGTGTAAAATTTTTCATGTTTAAAACAGAAGGCAGGGCCAATATTATGACACCTGCTTATTAAGACAGCAACTGAGGCTACGCCAGACGAGCGCTTGCCCGCCTCCTACCTGCAGGTCTTACAAAAGAGTCTACCTTATAATATCATGATTTAAAGTCTACGCCAGACGAAGGTTCGCCCACTAACTGCTTACAGTGGAGGTGTTGTGTCGATTCTTGTCCTACCTATTATAAGAATGTGAGGGAGCGGGTCTTTCCCCCTGGCCCACCGACTTAGTTGTCTCAGTTCATTGGTCTCCTGAACCTTGGACGGCGTTACCTCCATGAACGTCCTGAAACTATGACCCAATTACTGACGGCTGTGGCTTTGACACCAACACCAACACCAACAACGGTGATAACAACAACAGCGCTTACTACAGTGAAATAATCTCAATAAGTCGGCGACAGTCAGGCAGGGAATAGAGTGACAGCAGGTAACAGTAGCAGCTACCACTCGTACAGCTAAGAGTATCAACAATGACTTATTCTTTGACCAGCTGCAGGAAGTAGTTAACAGCAGACAGTAGACAACAGCAGCAAAAGCAGCACTAACAGTTCAGCTGTGAGTCGTGAAGGTCATGCACTAAAAAACAGGAAGTAAAAAACATATTAAAAACACAATTTCAACATAATTAAACATCACAAAAGATGTTAAGTAGGACAAACCCAACACATAAGAAAACGTATGCAAATAATGATTATAAACAGCGTAAACATCACATTTAAAAAACATTTCCCAGTAACCATTAGAACATCTCAAATAGAAATGTAACATCACATATATGACACATATTGTAAAATTAACCATTAAAACATTCCCAGTATAATCTTAACATCACTCAGTAACTATGAGGCACCATCCCAACATCAGTAAGCACTCCCGCCAGACCTGAAGGAGACACGGAGGCGCAGGTGTACAGGTGTGGCGGCCTCCATGTCGGTGTGTAGCTTAAATGTGGTCCTCCTCATTTCCTCGTAGCTCATGGTTGTGTTCTGCGGCCACCAGGGATGACAACTATGAGTTTTTATCTTTAATAATATATATATTTATATGTCAGAGAGAGAAAGAGAAAGAGAGAGTTATATATAATCAGCCAGAGAGAATATTCAGAAGTATCAGTGACTCACCAGAAGGTGGATGAGGTACCGATATTCACTGTCGGTTCTCTGAAGAAACTCATAAAACAATGCCCTGATATTTGAGTCGCCCAGAAAAGCGATCCAGAAGGAATTGTTGTTCTTGAGTCTGTGGGCGAAGCAGGCGGTGACGGAGGGTGGGTGGTCAAAGGGCACTATGGCACAGGGCACGTAGGGCAACACTCCGCCGTCGGCATCAATCCTACTGTTGAGGCGGAGGATGGGTGTTTGACCTTCCTTCCTATGGTCATCCTCTTGAGTCTTGTTAGTGTGGTGTTCGAAGGTTAAGAGTGTAGGAAGCAGCGCCGCCAGACTGAGTGAATCCTCGGAGGAAGCTCCTGACGACGACGACCTCTTCTGCAGCAGATGTCTCACCCCTTTGACAGCCGCTGACAGGTGTTGGTCCTCCCGAGGGTGTAGCGGCGTCCACCTGTCGCTCGTCAAGCTGCTGTTGTCTGCAGGATTTTGTAGCAGGTGAGCAGGGAAAAGTGTTTTTTCATCTGGCACCCCAGTGATGGTGAAGAGGGAGCGACACATGTTTACTGACACACCTGTCTGGCCTGTTTCTCCACGGTAAACAAGTGGTCCTCTCCTCTGCTCACCAGCCTCCTCACTATATTTGTCACCATCTTTGTCACTCTCCTTAACATTATCCTCTTGGTAAACGCTCACTAACAAAACGAATATTATAGCTGACGCTGTAACACTTGTTTTATTACAACACTTTTGTATAAGATTTGTTCGTAGCACAAAAACCATCTTCCTCGAGCAGGGGTTAACCGTTTGAAGGGCAGTGTCGCACTTCGGTATTATATTCTGGTTGACACCAGAAGATTTTATTCAGCTGATAGTAACCACTGCCACTCAAAGGGTTAACAGCGACACACAGTGAGGTGAACACGAACCTTCTCCTCACATCTTCAATATAAACACAAACTTTTCCTCTTCCAGTGTTCGTTCACCTGGGCCTCACTTGTGCTTATCTAGTTGCTGAATGTAGATTAAATTGTTCTCCAATAATAACAAGAGTGACTCAGACATCATCAGTGAATTATGTCACGAGAGATAATGTATGAGTGTGTGACTTGTGTTTTATATTGAGCCGGACGGAGGTAGCGGCCACCATCACCACACACCGAGACGAGTGCAGCATGTTGACCCCTCACAGCCACGTCTCAGCCGGAAACACCTCAGTTTATCACTTTAGAATTTCCTATAAATTTCCTTCACATCCAATATGGCCGTCAAACTCCAAAATGGTCACTTTACTGCCGTTAATTTACATTGAGTTTCTGTAGCTTTTGTTTGTCTTGGTTTTTATATTTGTCTAATGTAGAGATTTCTGACATGAACTAAATATTTATACATAAATACTTAGTAACGTTTAAGTTAGTTTAAACAAGCAAATAGTAAACTATGAAATGACCAGATTCTCCCTTACACCTACATGGTACACCTACACAGTACACCTGCATGGTACACCTGCACCTTACACCTACACAGTACACCTGCTTGGTATACCTGCACCTTACACCTACACGCTACACATACGCAGTACATCTACACAGTACACCTATGAGCTACACATACGCAGTACATCTACACAGTACACCTACACGGTACACCTACACGTTAAGTTGCGATCTAAACAAAAATAACTATTTGTGGTTGGAGTTTCCTTGACATACAGCATCACTTGTACCGACCCGTGGTGACCCCTTCTGCCACACACACACAACACACACACACACACACACACACACACACACACGAGCTCCTCAGTGTATACACAACATTCATACTTCCCAAGCTCACCTATGCCTCCCCCACCTGGTCTTCCTCCCTAAATGCCACACAACGAAAACACCTAGAAAAAGTGCAAAAGAGGGCATGCAAGATTATTCTCTCCCCTTCCTACTCCACATATCAAGAAGCGCTCAACACACTGACCCTTTCGACTCTCACTGACCATCACCACGACCTCATCTACAAATTTGGTAAGAAGCTTCTACACCATCCCCGACACCGGCTCCTACTACCACCTGACATCCCCTGTCCGAGAATTGCTGTTCGACACCACAACCGCATCCAGCCCATACGTGCACGAACTGATCGCTATAAGAACAGCCCAGTCCCAACCATTGTAAAAATTATCAATAACATGTAATAAATCAGTGTATTCACTCCCGGTAAACACTGCTCCTTACACTGTCACTATGTTGAAATGAACTGTAGTTTGAGCTGATCCCCATCTAAGTTATTATATGTCTAATTTGTGTCACTTATGTTACTTGTATATTATTTGTAATTCGTAACCCATTCCCCAAATATGTAACTGTAAATTTTCAGCCTTCTGGCTGCCAAGCTCTTTCAATAAACCGTTAATTATTATTATTATTATTATTATTTATTATTACACTAAGACTTTGCTGTTACTCGGAATCGAGAATGCCGATCATCCAGATATGAGTTATTACGGATGTCACTTTCATTGGTGAGTTTTAAGGTGGCCTCCATGAACGTCGTGAAACTATGACCCAATTACTGACAGCTGTGGCTTTGACACCAACACCAACAACGGTGATAACAACAACGGCGCTTACTACAGAAGAGATAACAACTGCAACAACTTGAGAAATAACAGTGAAATATAATCTCAATAAGTCGGCGACAGTCAGGCAGGGAATAGAGTGACAGCAGGTAACAGTAACAGCAACCACTCGTACAGCTGAGAGTATCAACAAAGACTTATTCTTAGACCAGCTGCAGGAGGTAGTTAACAGCAGACAATAGAGAACAGCAGCAGAAGCAATACTAACAGTACAGCTGTGAGTCGTGAGGGTCATGCACTAAAAAACAGGGAGTAAAAAACACATTAAAAACACAATTTCAACATAATTAAACATCACAAAAGATGTTAAGTAGGACAAACCCAACACATAAGAAAACTTATGCAAATAATTTTTAAAAACAGCGTAAACATCACATTTAAGAAACATTTCTCAGTATCCATTAGAACATCTCAAATAGAAATGTAACATCATATATATGACACATATTGTAAAATTAACCATTAAGATATTCCCATCATAATTTTAACATCACTTAGAAACCATGAGGCACCGTCCCAACATCAGTAAGCACTCCCGCCAGACCTGAAGGAGACGCGGAGGCGCGGGTGTACAGGTGTGGCGACCTCCATGTCGGTGTGTAGCTTAAATGTGGTCCTCCTCATCTCCTCGTAGCTCATGGTTGTGTTCTGCGGCCACCAGGGATGACAACTATGAGTTTTATTTTTATTAATATATATATACATATATATATATATATATATACAGTATATGTATATATATATATATATATATATATATATATATATATATATATATATATATATATATATATATATATATATATATATATATATATATATATATACATTCATATGTCAGAGAGAGAAAGAGAAAGAGAGAGTTATATATAATCAGTCAGAGAGAATATTCAGAAGTATCAGTGACTCACCAGAAGGTGGATCAGGTACCGATATTCACTGTCGGTTCTCTGAAGAAACTCGTAAAACTATGCCCTGATATTTGAGTCGCCCAGAAAAGCGATCCAGAAGGAATTATTTTTCTTGAGTCTGTGGGCGAACCAGGCGGTGACGGAGGGTGGGTGGTCAAAGGGCACTATGGCACAGGGCACTCTCACACCAGCCTCACATCCTCACACCAGCCTCACACTGTCACACCAGCCTCACACTTTCACACCAGCCTCAAACCCTCACACCAGCCGCACACTCTCACACCAGCCTCACACTCTCACACCAGCCTCAAACCCTCACACCAGCTGCACACTCTCACATCAGCCTCACACCCTCACACTAGCCTCACCCTCTCACACGAGCCTGACACTCTCACACCAGCCTCAAACCCTCACACCAGCCACACTCTTCACCAGCCTCACACTTTCACACCAGCCTCACCTCTCACACCAGCCTCACCCTCACACCAGCCTCACACTCTCACACCAGCCTCAAACCCCTCACACCAGCCGCACACTCTCACACCAGCCTCACACTCTCACACCAGCCTCAAACCCTCACACCAGCTACACTCTCACATCAGCCTCACACCTCACACTACCTCCTCACCCTCTCACACAGCCTGACACTCTCACACCAGCCTCAAACCCTCACACCAGCCGCACACTCTCCACCAGCCTCACACTTTCACACCAGCCTCACCCTCTCACACCAGCCTCACACTCTCACACCAGCCTCACACCCCACACTAGCCTCACCCTCTCACACAGCCTGACACTCTCACACCAGCCTCAAACCCTCACCAGCCTCTCACACCAGCCTCACACTTTCACCAGCCTCACCTCTCCCACACCAGCCGCCTCACACACCCTCACTCACCACTCACCAGCCCACACCCCTCACCCACTCACACTCTCACACTCTCAGCCTCACACTCACACCAGCCTCAAACCCCACACACCAGCCTCACACCAACACTCTCACACCAGCCTCACACCCCTCACACTAGCCTCACACTCTCAGACCAGAATCACAATCTCACAAGAGCCTCACACTCCCATGCTCTCACACCAGCCTTACACTCTCACATCAGCCTCACACCTTCGCACTCTCACACCAGCCTCACACCAGCCACACACTCTCACATCAGCTCACACCTCTCACACTCTCACACCAGCCTCACCTCTCACACCAGGCTCACACTCTCACACCAACCTCACACCCCACACCAGCCTCACACTCTCACCAGCCTCACACTCTCACAACAGCCTCACATCCTCACACCAGCCTCACTCTGTCACAAAGCCTCACACCCCTCACACCAGCCCCACACTCTCACCAGTCCCACACTCTCCATCAGCCTCACACTCTCACAGCCTCACTCTCAGACTCTCACACTCTCACACCAGCCTTACACCCCTCACACCAGCCCCACTCTCTCCTCAGCCTCACACTCTCACACCAGCCTCACACTCTCAGACACACCAGCCTCAGACTCTCACACCAGCCTCACACTCACACACCAGCAGCCTCACACTCTCAAACCTGCCCCACACTCTCACACCAGCCTCACACTCTCACACCAGGCTCTCACTCTCACATTAGCCTTACATTCTCAAACCAGCCTCAGACTCTCACACCAGCCTCAGACTCTCACACCAGACTCACACTCTCACCTCTCCCTGCCCAACACTCTCACCAGCCACACACCCTCACACCAGCCTCACAACACCGGCCAGACACTTACACCAGCCTCACCTCTCACACCAGCCTTCACACTCTACACCAGCCCCACACTCTCACATCAGCCTTACACCTTCACACTCTCACACCAGCCTTACACTCTCACACCAGCCTCACCTCTCACCAGCCTCACACTTTCACACCAGCCTCACACTCTCACACCAGCCTCACACTCTCCAGCAGCCTCACACTCTCACACCCTCACACCAGCCTGACACTCTCAACCTTGTCTCCCCACTCTCACACCAGCCTCACACCCCTCACACCCTCACACCAGCCTCACCCTCACCCCAGCCTCACACCCCTCACACCAGCCTCACACTCAGATACCAGCCTCACACTCTCACACCAGCCTCACACTCTCACACCAGCCCCATACTCTCACATCAGACCTGCACACTTCACACCTCACACCAGCCTCACACTTTCACACCAGCCTCACACTCACACCAGCCTCACACTCTCACACCAGCCACACTCTCACACCAGTCTCACACTTTCACACCAGTCTCACACATTCACACCAGCCTCACACTCTCACACCCTCACACCAGCCTCACACCCTCACACCAGCCTCACACTCTCAAACCTTGTCTCCCACTCTCACACCAGCCTCACACCCTCACACCTTCACACCAGTCTCACACCCTCACCCCAGCCTCACACCCTCACACCAGCCTCACACTCAGACACCAGCCTCACACTCTCACACCAGCCTCACACCCTCACTCCAGTCTCACACTCTCACACCAGCCTCACACTATTATTAGTATATTATCACACACACACACACACACGATCACGTCAATAATTCTGCTCCCGACTATACCGCCCTTTAGGATTTATTG